TGAACCTTCTTTTGTATGTGTTTTTAAACTTTTTTAAAAATTTTACTTGTCAGAAAGTATATGTGCTCACCAGAGAGAGACAGAGAGAGAGAGGGAAGGAAGAATGCCTTCCCCTCAATGGAGGCTTAGTCACACTGCAATCTCTTCTCCTTTATCCTATCTGGATTTTGGACACACATGCACATGTGCCAAGCATGTTTTTCAAGTTGCTGGGGCCTGGATGTGAACCATGGTCAGTCATATGGGATCCAGCTCTCTTAATCACTAGGCTATGGGGCTGGTCCTCTTTTTGTATTTTGACGATTTTTGTATTTGATTTTGTCACATAAAAATGACAGTGATTTGCATATCACAAATTTTGAAAGATTTATTTATTATTGTTGTTATTTTAAAATTTACTACTGGGCATGTGTACTCACCAAAGAGAGAGAGAGAGAGACATGTGTGCTCACCAGAGAGAGAGAGAGAGAAACAGCAAGCCACTGGGTCCTGGACTCATACTATAGTCAGCCATGTAGGAGTCCAACCCCTTAACTACCATGCCACCTACTGGCTCCTGCATATCACAACTTTACTGATTCTATTTACTTTTTTTTAGAATTCTTTTTTAACTTTATTTATTCATTCATTTATTTTTAAAATTTAACTAGAGAGACAGAGAGAGAGAGAGGGTGAGAAAGCAAGCCACCAGTTCCAGGACTTGAACCGTGGTCAGCCAAGTAGGAGCATTCAGCGCCTTAACCACCATGCCACCGCTGGTCCCTGATTCCATTTATTTATAATCAGTCTTAAGATTTTGAGAGCGAGAAATCTAAGAATGACAAGAAACTGGTTGCTGAGGCCAGCATGTCCAAGGAAAACTGGTACTAAAAAAATAAGTGATAAATTTGCAGGTTTCAAAAAAATCATAGCCATCCTTTGAAAAATCTTTAAAAAAAAGTATTCCAGTAATTTATTTCCCCATATAATATGAATGATTTGAACAAACTTTATGAATTAAATATTTTAAGTAACAAACTTCTTAATTATGACTGAATTAATTTGGGACCAGCCGATGGCATAAGAGTTATGTTGCAGGACTCCCATGTAGTCGACCGCAGTTTGAGTCCCAGACCCAGCACCTTAAAACTCACACTGGGTGAGTGTGTGTGCATGTCCAAGATCCCAAGGGGAGAATGGAGGAGAAGGGATTGTGGTGTGGCCACGTCCCTGGGGGTGGGGGGGTGAGGTCTCTCTGTCTCTCTGGCAAGTGCAAGTGCCCTATAATAAAGATCTCTCTCTTAAAAAAAAAGATTATGACTGAAATTTAAAAACTTTTGTCAACCTATTTTCTAATACCTTTTTTCAGTTTAATGTACTATGTAATTATTTGATAATATGTACATATTTGCATTTAAGATAATTGCTTGTGAATTGGAAGTTTGGTCCTGAGTACATAATTTTTCCATAGAAGCATTTAGGTTCCATCATGTCATATATAGGACACATCGAAATAGGATGTCCATAATTAGGATGGTAAAATTCCTCTTTTAAAATTGTATGTTTTTTGAAGTTTTTTTTGTTTTCTTTCTATTTGAGAAAGGGTGAAAGACAGGGAGAGACAGGCACTGCCAATTCTTATTCCATAATGCCCCCTTGGGCTCAGCCCACATGAGTTTGGCTTCTTTAGGGAGGTTTTGGGGCATGAACCCACAACCTTTCTCAGGTAGGTCCAACTGGCCCATCACTGTGCCTGGTCTCACTACAAGTATTCTCAAAATCTCATTTTAGTATATCAGAAGGAGTATATGTACATTCTGTCTTTAGCTTCCTCGGTTGATGTTCAAGGAGTGAGGTACTTCATTGGATCTGAATGTAGGGTATAGTTCAGAGGCTGCAGGATTAGAGATACCAAAAAAAGGGAAAAAAAGATGATGAGAAGATACCTGTGATGGAATTCTGTAACACACCATCTTTCCTCTTTCCTATCCCCTTTCTCATTTTTTCCTTTGAAGAGCTGTGCCCTTCTTCCTAAATGCCCTTCTTGGACAACCGCTCCATTATAATTTGGCCACAGAGTTGTGCTTCTTTCTGTTACTTGAAAGAGTTCCATGATTGAATGCTCCTAGGTCCTTTTCCTCTCTCTGCCATCACGATCATCCTCTGCCCTAGTCCCTAGCAGAATGATGCCCCTTTCCTACTTCCCAGGAATAATCACATAATGTTTATAGGGTTTATAAAAGAGCACCGTCCAGAGTTAGTGTAGAAGGTGTTAACCTAACCACAGGCATCAGTCATGTAAAAATGGCAAATAGCAACGAGAGAGGAAGAATCGTTCTTAACTCTTTTACTAATTACCTTGTTTGAAAATTTAGAAATAGGTGCTTAACCTCTGGAGTCAAGAGTCATATGCTTTGCCAACAACAACAACAACAAAACAGTTTTTTAAGTTTTCTTTTATTCAGAACACTCTCTTAATTCAAGATTCCCAGATCTATAGCCTATGTGCTCAGTCCCTCTTGCGTTTTTAACTTCTAATAAAGGCTAGGGGCCTGGACTTACAAAGCAGGCAGTGGGAAGTCATCAGCTAAAGTCCCTTTTTGTTGTTTTGCACAACCTCAATCTGATCAGATTTCCAGGTCTCCAAGCTGCTTTAGGCATTACTTAAATATCTCAGTTTAGAAAGAAGGCCCTCCACTCAGCCTCCCTGGAAGAAATATTCCAAAGTCTAAAGGCAGGAAAACATTGGGGCCTATCTGTATTTGTATTAGAAAGAATGTATTGCAAACATTATGATTCCTGGCTCCTCACAGCTAGAAACAACAATCTATTTCTTTCTTTCTTTCTTCCTTCTTTCTTTCTTCCTTTCTTTCTTTCTTCCTTCCTTCCTTCCTTCCTTCCTTCCTTCCTTCTTTCTTTCTTTCTTTCTTTCTTTCTTTCTTTCTTTCTTTCTTCCTTTCTTTCTTCTTTTTTGTGGTTAATAACAATCGATTTCTTTAGGCCACTCAGTCCTCCTCTGTCTCTTTTTATTTGTATTTAATCTACTTATACTATTTATTTTTTACTTTCTTATCATTGAAAATTAATTACCTTCAGTCTTTAAATTTTGACATGACTATTTTTATCTTTTTACATTTATTTTATACATCTAATCACTATACATTGCTTAGGCTGTAAACTGAATTTACCCAACATGAATACACTTCACACCAGTCCAGAGGTGGATACAAAACATGTTACCGTCAACAGATAATAAGCCATTTCTGCATCCCCTAGATGTCCTGCTTATTTTTCTCCTTAATTTCTTTCCATAAATAGTTATAGTTTGGATTTGTAGTCTACATATTGGTCATACCTATTGATCGTATAACCAGTGTTTGAAAACCCAGTGCAAGTGATTTCAATTCAGGTTGAACAGTTCTGCAATGAGATAAAGGCAAAGAGACATTAAACATCTTTAATACACAAATTGAGGTCAGTCTTAAAAATTTCTCAGTATCATTTTTCTTTATGACTGAATGAAAATCTTCAAATGAATGACGGAAGTCATATAAAGGTACATTTTCAATTGTTTTAAAAATGCAGACATCTCGGGAACCAGCAGTTAGCGTAATGGCTATGTCGCTGGACTCCCATGTAGTCGACCGTGGTTCGTGTCCCGGACCCGGTGGCTTAAGACTCATGCCAGGCATGTGTGCGTGTGTACCCAAGATCCAGAGAGGAGAATGGAGGAGAGGGGATTGCGGCATGGCCATCCCCTCTGGGGGGTGATTTCTCGCTTTCTATCTCTCTGTCTCTCTCTGTCTGTCTGGGGAGCACATGCGCCCTATAGCAAAAACCTCTCCAAAAAAAAAAGAAAAAGCAGACATCTGGGCCTAGCAAGGAGTGTGGTGGTTAAGGTGTTAGATTCCAAAATAGCCGATTGTGGGTAAACCCTGTGGCTTAAAACTCATGCCAAAGGGGCCAGCAGGTAGCAAAGCGGTTATATCACTGGAGTCCCACATGGGCGACCTTGGTTTGAGTCCCAGACTGGGTGGCTTGCAACTTTTGCGGGGCACCTAAGTGGGTGAGTGCCCAAGATCTGGGGGAGAATGGAGGAGAAGAAATTGTGGTGTAGCCTTCTCTTGAGGGTGATTTCTCACTTTCCCTCTCACTCTCTCTGTCTCTCTCTGAAGAGCACATGTACCCTAAGGCAAACACTCCCTCCAAAATAAAACAAAACAAAACAAAACAAACCTCATGCCACATGTGTATGTGGGTGAGCCCAAAGTCCCAAGAAGAGAATAGAGGAGAAGAGACACTGAGGTGTGATCATTCCCCCAAGGGGTGATTTCTCACTTTCCATCTCTTTCTCTGATGAGTGAACACACCCTATGGCAAAAACCTGAAAAAAAAAAAAAAAACCCAAACAATTAAAAAAATGCAAACATCTGTGTGATAATTATCATCATTCCCTATTTATTCAGTGCATTATGATTTCAAGACAGTTTTGCAAACATTTGCACACTTGACACAGTTGGTAGTGTCAAAGCTCACTGAACACAGTACAATAGAATTGTGTTGGGCCAGCCGATGGCACTGTGCTGCTTTGGTGGCTTAAAATAGATGCAGGGCACATATACATGTGTGCCTAAAATCCCCAGAGAAGAATGAACAAGAAGGGTTTGTGACATGGCCATCTTCCTTGGTAGGAGTGTAGGGTACTTTCTCACTTTCCCTCTGTCTCTCTCACTCTTTCATATTAAGTGAAATGAAATTACCTGGCAGCAGTGGCAATGGGGGAAGAATTAAAATGGGGAGGTGACTAAGGCTTGAGAATCTCATTTTTACTACTATATTGAATTAACTGATATAAAAAGTATTTTTTCCCTCACAATGCTTGATGACTAGATTTTACTTATTTATTTTTTCAGAGTGTTCAGTAGATATAGTCACTCAACAAATACTTACTAAGTGCCTCCTGGGAAATGCCATGCTAGCTTAACTCTTATTGTTAAGAGTATAGAGACAAATGATGCTTTGTATCAACTAGGTAACTTGGAGACATAGGTCGTTTCATCTCTCCTACCCTCAGTTTTCCTGTTAATGAGGATAATCATGCTTATCTCATAACTGTTGTGTATTATGAGAATGCGATACAGCGAATTAGCACTCTAAGCCTATTTACACATAATTGTCTCTTAAACTTTGCAGTAAACCTACCATTTATTGAGGCTTTCAAAAGTATTTGAGAGAGTTTAGAAAATTAAATAAGACAAGAAATAATCTAAATATAACATTAAAATAAATCAGGATAGTTAAATATTAGAGCAGAAAATAAATGGTGACTGTTTCTGGCTCTACTTTGTCAAAAGACAGTGACACTTTGCTAGCCACGTTGAGGTCACAAGACTCAAGCTCAAACCAGAACCTTGGGATCACCCTCATACTTTCTTTCACATGCCACATTCAATACCCTAGAAAATTCTATTGACTTTGCCTTCAAAGACAAAAAACAAAAATCTGAGACTCAAATCACTTCCCACTTTCTTTACTAGCATCATCCTCAATCAAATCCCCATCTTGTGAAGAACTTGCATAGATTGTTTCTCCTGGTTTGATTCTTGCCTTCCTAAAACATGTCCACCCAACAGCATGAATGATCTAATTAGGTAAGTCAGCTGCGCAATTCTAATGCTCATTCCATGGGCTTCTCAACATGCTTAGCATAAAACTCCATTGTATAAAATAAGACTCCAAGTCTTAACTGTGACCCGCAGGATCTGGACTTTACTACTCTTTCCTACTTTTTTCTTCCTTGCACTTTTCCTGTGCTTGTACATGTTAAGTACACTCCACCTCAGAGCCTTTACCTACGCTATTACCGATGCTCTTCACAGTGCCCATATTGGCATGGCTTTTCCCTTCACTCTTCATCCACAAATTTTATTGAGTAACATCCAGTGTATAATATATTATATCATATCTCCTACTTATACTCTTACTTTCTTTATTTTTTTGAAAAAGATTTTTACTATAGGGCACAGAGACAGAGATTGAAAGTGAGAAATCACCCCCATGGGGGAAGGGGGGATGACCATGCTGCAATCCCTTCTCCTCCATTCTCCTCTTGGGATCTTGGGCACACACACACACACACACACACACACACATGCTCCAGCATGAGTTTTAAGCTGCGGGATTAGGGACTTGAACTATAGTTGACTATGTAGGAGTCCAGCAATGCAACTGTCTCGCCATCTGCTGGTCTCTTGCTATTTTTCTAATTCTGATTTTTCTTTTCTATTTTACATGATTATTTTCTTCTATTTTACTTGCTTATTTGTTTGTTGTGTCTTCTACACTGATCCACTCTCACATACCCTACTCTCACCAGAAACATTTCCATTCACAGCTGCACTCTCAGTGCCTAAAACTGTACCTGAGACATATGATGAATATATTTAAAATGTGAACTTTATCACTCCTCTGTAGTCTAGTTGTAACAATGGCATTAGGATGAAAGCATTGGAAAATAATCAATAGACCACAGCTTACATTTTTATTCTATAATGAGCTTCACGAGAGTGAAAAACCAAACCAAAGGCTGGGACCAGCAAATGGCATAGTGGTTATATTGCTGGATTCCTACATGGCTGATTGTGGTTTGAGTCCCAGACTTGGTGGGTGGATGATTAGGTTGAGGTTTTGATGACTAAGTTCTGGTGGGTGTATAAGGAAAGGAAATGAGACCAGAATGAGACCCAGAAACTATGCACAGCCACTCTGCTCGAATCTTGTCTTCCCCCATGCAACAACCTCACTGGAAGGTGGCCCTTGGCCTTTGACCTTTTAATTCAGGTGCTGAATAAACTTTATTTCTCTATAAATTACTTAGTGTCAGGGATTTTTGTTAGCAACATAATAATGGACTAAGATAACAGCTTTTTTCTTATTAGTTCTAAGAACAATTTGTAATTAAGAGTTTATTTTTAAGCTCATTTGTCCCACTTCAGTCTTTCCTATTGTACTTTAAGCCATGTGAAAACAGAAAACCTTATCTGTTATATCTACCATGAAATATTCTTCATGGAACATGATACTTCTTAAAATATTTATAAACTGCGGGACTGGCAGGTGCTGTGGTGGTTAAGGTGCTGGACTTCCATGTGACTGACCGCGGTTTGAGTCCCAGACCTAGTGGCTTGCTTTCTCACTTTTCTTCTCTCTCTCCCTTCTGTTTCCTCTCTAGTCAAATTTTAAAAAAGTAATCATAACAACAAATAAAATTAAATAAATAATTATTTTTTAAAAAACCAAATATTAATAAAATGAATAAAACAGGAATAAATTATTTCTACTTCTTTTTCTTTTGTCTAAGAGATTATTACGTGAGACAAAACCAAAGTCATTTTGCAAGGCTAGCAGATGGCGCAGTAGTTAATGCTGTAGCTCCTACATGGTCAACCATCATTTGAGTCCCAGACCTGGTGGCTAACTTTCTCATTTTTCCTCTCTCTCTCTCTCTCTCTTATGAGCACACATGCCCTATAGCGAATTAAATAACAGTAATAGTAATAGGAGATGAAATTAATTCTTAAAATGAGGAAATTCTGTGAGTAGATTAAAATCTTTGGAATATTACTATGGACTCAAGTTTATAGTTATATCTGATTGCCAGGTGTTTTCCCTTAATAAAATCAATAGATGATTCACCTGACAGAGCATCAGGATGCTAGATAGCTCAAAATTAAAAGTTCTTTTGGAATCATATAAAGATTCTTTTACTACTGAGATAAAATTCTCAGTCTATGTCACAATAGTCTGAAAAAGAGAAGAATATATAGAATCCTGATTTTTTTTTTTTTTGAGAGATTTTCACTGTAGGGCGTGTGTGCTCGCCAGACAGACAGAGAGAGACATAGAGACAGAAAGCGAGAAATCACCCCCCAGGGGGGATGGTCAC